CTGTAAAAGCAATGTGGCATCTCTGTATGTACTAATACTTTGTTCTCCAGAAAACTGTTAAAATGAAACCATAAGCAGAGAAAATGGTCCATAAATACGTGACTGCTTATCTCGGGGAGGGAGGAAAGAGCTCCTATTTTACAAGAAAAAAAAAAAAAAACTAAAGAAAACAAAAACAAAAAAGGTTTCCTTTGATGGAGGAAAGGCACGGGGTCGATGAGGCAGGGTAAAAAAACTGCATTTCTTTGTACTTTTTTTTTTAGTTTTTAATCCTGGAATGATGTACACATTTTACTTAATACTGATGCAAGATTAGGTGGTTGTTTTTTTAAGCTTTAAAACTATAAAAACAAAATGAAACATATGATCTGGAGTTTCAAGTTGGCAGGAACTTGACCCACACAGAGAGGAGCTATTCTACGTGATTTTAAAGCACAGTAACAGGACCGTACATTCCTAGGGGCATATACCCTTAGGACAACAGAAATATTCGATGACATCTGGTAGTCACTGTGTGGCAATAAAATCAGTATTACAATGTGAATAAGCAATTACGTTGAGGAGGGTAGGAACGTGGATTTTTAGTATAAGGAAAAAGAGATACAAATATAAAGTCAAAGAGAAATACCTGTAAATCTAAATCTGAATTAGAAACTTTAGTTATGAAGTCATGACATCCTACTTAAAAAAAATTATCTACACACGTATTTCCTAGATGTGTCCACTGAAGAGCACAGAAATGGTGACCCAGCCAGGAACAGAGAGCTCCCCTAGCACCTGGCACCTTTCTCCCACGCAAAAGAGCCGGCACACTTTGGAGAGATGGCTGGCTCCTGATGCGGAACAGGGACAGATGAGCTGGGCCGGAAACATCCTGTCTCATCAGCAAAAAGAGAACCTGTGGGGCTGCAGTGTAGGATTCAGGAGCCAATCTGAAGACACTCCCATTGGATCAAAGAGAGAAAATTTTAACTTCATAAGAGATTTTTAAAAATTGGCAATTAATTGAAACACATTAAACATTAAAAAGCAAAAGTTTCTTTTATCAGTCTGAAATAACTATTGGTCATTTTTCATTAGATCAAAAACTAGGAAAGGACAAGAATCAATCATTTAACTTTCTTTTCTTGTATTAACTGTGTTATCAGGATAACGACGAAACTGATAATGGGACATTTCTTTTTTTTTTTTTTAAGTTAATTTTTTTTTTTTTTTTAATTTGACAGACAGAGATCACAAGTAGGCAGAGAGGCAGGCAGAGAGAGAGAGGAGGAAGCAGGCTCTCCACTGAGCAGAGAGCCCGATGTGGGGCTCGATCCCAGAACCCTGGGATCATGACCTGAGCCGAAGGCAGAGGCTTTAACAACACACTGAGCCACCCTGGCGCCCCAGTGGGACATTTCTTTTTATAAAGTATTTAAGTTTATGAAGAAGAAAGGAAGTAATCAGAATGTCACTATTCTGCAACTGTGAGAAAATACTAGTTCTAAACCATGATCGTCAATGAATGCCTGACATCATAAAAAAGAAACAGCCAGACTCCCCCAGTAAAACTCCCAGTAGGACTATCTGCCACCACCCATTAAGGATTTTTGCCTTCTTCCTACAAAATCTAAGCTAGGTCTGATCAAGCCTCAAGACCCAGCTTCCAGTTTATAGGAAACAACAGGGGAAAGAGAATATATAGATGGCCACCCATGAGTGCAACGAGCAAAAGCTAAAATGTAGGGAAATCTACAGGAAAACACACAGTTTCCTCACCTAATAATTAACATAAGGGGATAAGACAAAAAGGAGAAGAAGTAAGAACCTACAGATTGAGAAACAGAGTGATCAACGAACTGCCATGTATATCCTGTGAAAGAAATTATGACACAAGCAGGAAAATTTGAATTGGGCTTTTTTTTTTTTATTAAAAAATTACTACTCATTTTTTAGGTCTCTTAATGGTATTGAGGTTTTTTCCTAAAGCTTTTACAGGCATACACATGATAAGATTATTGAAGTGAACCATGGTTCCTAGAAATTCATTGTACTATATTCTCTCTCCTTTTGGATGCTGAAATGTTTTCTGATTAAAAAGTTAAGGGGGAAAACAGCATTCTTAATTCTGATGGTAGTCTGTGAGTTCTTTTGGGGCCCAAACCCTAACATTTTATATATATACATATATAAATATATATACATAGATGATGTCCACACTACAATATATATAACACAACATATATATTAAATAAAATGTTAAATATAAACTATCAAACACTTCTTTTACTGCCCCTACTTCTGACCTGAAGCATGAAGTCAGGTTTTACCTGCAGGACTTTGCAGGAGTTAGGAAGGACTTTGCTGTCTTACCTATATGTGGTGAGGACTGCTTTCTACAGGACCTGGAGATAAGACTGAGAATCAAAAATATTCAAGTTCAAAGAATCCTCACTGGGTTTTTAGAGCTTTTGACCTAATAAGTATCTCAAGGAATCGCTGATCTCTTGGCCTGCTTTTTCAAAGCCCTAGTTATTCCACTTAGATTTACTAAAAGCTACTCCTACAGATAGCTTTTACAAACATACCACAATAAATATCCCCTAATAGTTTAAAAAAAAAAAATGGGGTGAGAGGAGAAAAGTAGATTAGCAGTTGCCCGAGCCAGGTGGTAGAGGAAATGGGGCCTGGGCATGGGGATCTTTTGAAGGTAATCAAAGTGTTCTGGGATTAGACCATGGTGATAGTTTCACAACCTTGTGAATACCCTAAAATCCACTGAAGCATACATGTTTAAAGGGTAGATTTTATGGTTGTGAATTATATCTCAATAAAACAGATTTTAGAAATCAGGATCAGAGGTATAAATTTTTCAAAGATTTATTGCTTCACTGTAAACCTTTTATACACATAAAGAAATCACTATGCAAGTAACGAATTTGTTTTTAATTTAGTGGGTTTTTTTCCTTTTCCCTTCCTAAACGAAATAACAGCAAGCCTAAAAAAAAAAAAAAAATCAGCAAATGACATCAGCTAACATAACGTGCCAATTCTGATCATAAAGTAGGAAATACTGTAAAATTACAGTGGCAGCTAGCTAACAACTTCACTTAACCAACACAACGGGCAAAAGTCCCACCATCTCTAATACTGAAAAAATGGTTCCAGATTAGTCTGCTGCCGCACACAACTTCCCTCCCCACTACAGAGATCCAACTTTAATTAACCCTGCGGAATTCAAGGTTTGAGTAAAGAGTCATGACAAACTCTGAAAGACCGATGATTTTATTTCTTCGAATAGTTAAAAGGGAAAGAGTTTTAATTCTGATAGTGACTTGGACAAAAATGACATCAAATGAGCATTCTGTATTAAATGCCCAAGAGAAAAGGAGTACAAATAAAAATCATCAACCTTAACCTTCCCCTGCTCTGGACATGCCCATCTCTGGATGCTTAACCAAAGAAGCAAGTGCTCTCACCACAGATGCAGACTTTAGACATAAAAAAAACTGCGGAACATCTGGAATTGGCTCTAGGCCCTCCTACAGACGCCTCTGTCATTTATAAACAGAGTCTCTTCACTATTATAACTTTAAAATCCATCTGCAAACTACAAAATCAGGAGTTGACAAAGTGTGGCACGAGTCCACCTCACGCAGTCTGTTACTAAGTGATTAGGAACACACAAAGCCTACTTTCAAAACTCCGTGTAACAGAAGCCAGGAGGGGCATTTTCTGCAGCATGTATTCCCAACTACCGAAAGCAACCTCTTATTTCCGTGAACTTCTATTAACAGTCCAAATGCATTCTGAATTAGACTCACTTGAGCCAAATCATCAAACAGTGTTTAGGAGGGGCGCCAGGAAACACCACTGGCCGTCAAGGTGAGATTAGCAGCAGCACCACGGGGAGCGGTGTCCTAAATACAGCCCCGTTCCACAGGCCAAGGGGACACACCCAACATATAAAAGCAGCTGGTGGTATTATACATTTAAAATAAAATGTGTTCAAAAGGAGACATCAGATCAGCATATTACGCCTGTTTGAGAAAGATAAAAAATTATCGGGGAAACACATCCGGGAAGACTGTCTGAAAGTATGTGACAATCCACACATTCACTTCCTGCTACAACAGAGCAGAAAACTCTGCAGACCTTTGTTTTGTAACAAGTGAACTGGGGCCAAAAAGGTAAGACACCCAATGGCTCTTCTGTTCATCTAGGAGGGAGCCCTCAAAGAAACAGCCCCAAAAAGCCGAAGGTGGACCCTCCAGTGCCCCAAAGCCTGAGAGACTGGCCATGACTGTCCTCACCCCGAAGGGCCAGGCTATACAGGTAAGCGGAGGACCCATTTGGCAGAGATCACGAGGACTTTCATAGTCCGTAACACGGGTTCTAGGAACTCTAGGGTGAGGGGACAAGAAACCAAAGCAAGGAATTTGGGAAACATCCACTAAGGCCATGTTCCCATCTCTTCCAGGAAGATGACGGACTTCTACTTTTTTTTTTTAAAGATTATATTTATTTATATTTATTTATCTGACAGAGAGACAGAGAGCACAGGCAGGAGGAGCAGCAGGCAGAGGGAAAGGGAGAAGCAGATTCCCCCCCACTGAGCAGGGGCTCGATCTCAGGACCCTGAGATCATGACCTGAGCCAAAGGCAGACACTTAACAGACTGAGCCACCCAGGCGCCCAGATGATGGACTTTTAAACTTTTGAAAAATCAGTTGTTTTACTTAATTGAATGAGGAAAAACATCAAATGTCTGTTAAGTGACAGACACAAACATATCTTACTCCCGAGTGCCATCTGACTTATACTGTGCCTACCCACTAGGAGAAAATACTTTGGGCACTGCTTTCTCGGGAAAATGCTATAAGAATTAAGCAATCAAGGATCTACTGAAACACAGTGTTTTTATGTGTGTGGCAGGTGAGTTAGTATGGTATTTCAGACTCTTGGCACTGTATCAGAAGCAGAAGAAACAGTAAGCAAATTAGAAAGTTCAACTTTACCTGAAAGGTACGCAACTTTTTCCTTTAAAATTGGCAAAACATCCATAGCTTTCATTTCATCATTTTTTCGAAACCCTGAAATACATAAGGAGAAATTCAAGTTACTAGGTTGCTTGAATGACATTTAAACTTCTTACCCCATCTAGCCAATGCCAACACAGCAGCTTTACTCACACCCATTAAGTCAGCTTTAGAAATAGCATTTCAAAGCATCTGAATTCTATGAAGGAAAGGCCATGATCACAGAGTTATTTTCTATTTTAATGTCAAACAGGGATTTGCACACAGACCCAAAGGCTCCGGTACCAAGCAGGCTCCAGGCCACTTGTAGCAATAAAGATCTGGTCCCCAAAAACACAGGATATGAAACCAGTCCAGAGCGTTTCAAAATTCTTCGTCTGGATCCTGTAGATGAATGCATATAAAGCAGCAATATCATGTTTTAAACACAGATATTGGTGGCACACTCATGCCTCTAGGGGGCGCTCATAGCCACCTCCAACTCCGCCTCCTCCTCCTCCCAGAGTCCAGAGTGGTTAAAAATAAACGGTGACAGTGAGGAGAGCAGGGATTATAAATAGCCAGGGACTGGCCACAGCTCCCTTTAGGCTCTATCCTTCCAGGCTTTCTGGGTCATGCCCCCCTGGAGGAATGTCACTGGCTACTGGGGTAAGATGGCCCAGTGCCACCTGCTTCGGAAGGCGGCTGAGACCCTCTTCTCACTGGGAAACTAACTCTCCCCACAACCAATATTGTCAAAGGCAAGTGGAGAGATAGATCATGGAAGAGAAGCACGGAGTAAGCAGTTGAGGCCAAGCCAACATCCATCTAAGATAAGGAATTCTCGAAGCCCGAACGTGTCTTGCTCGGCTCGCCAGGGCAAAGGCCTACATGGGAGTCTGGGATCAAAAATGTTCATGCTCATAATAATGCCTCGGGATGTTTCTGGAGGTCTCAAACCGGAAATCTAGGTTCAGGATGCTGGCCATCCTCATCAAAACAAGAAAATATCATCACTGGCTGAGTAATCTCTAGGAAAAATAAAAGACCACTGCCCCATCGCTATTTTCCTGTTTGTTTTTGCCAAAACAGTACAAGGAATGGTCCAGAACGGTAGCTTGGTAACACAATGCAAGGTGCAGACCTGGATTGGGAGAGCAAGGAGGGCTCTCTCTCAGGGACCTGGGGCTTTCTGTGTCATGTCTGAGTAGCCCCTGGGGACCCAGGCCTGCCTGCCACAGAGGAAACCAATAAAAAAGTGAGCAGTCTCAAGACTGCAGAGTAACTCAGAGCAGGGCGACGTGCTTGGGCAAAAGGGAATGGCACTGGGAGCGCTGGACTGGGACTTTTAGCCTGAGGACAGGGCGCAGGCTAAGGCGCATGGAGCTGCCAACACAAGAACCAGACACAGCTTGGGGCAACCTCAGCAACTGAGGAGAAATCGTGGAAAGGAGCGGAGGAGCCCCAAATTCTGTATATAATCTTGGCCCAAATCTCTGGCTCTCCCCTGAGCCTCGCTTGTAGGAGGCAAGCTCCAGGCTAAAGACAGAGTGTCTGACTGAGATTCGTGCTAGGGCCCGCTGCAGGAGATGGGGTTCGTAGCTCGAGTCCCCCCAGATTAGCAGCCTGCCAGAGCAAGCAAACAACGACAAAATCAGCACTTTGAGGAAGGATGTAACAGAACCCAGCCCTGCAATACAGCACTCATAGCAGCAAAGAATGACAAAATCAATCTCTCCTGTGTACCAAGAACCCAGTTTTAATGGTATTAGCCACGATACTGACCATCACTAGAGACGCTGCACAAAGACAGCAGCAAACACATCCCAAGGAGGACCCCAAGGTCCAGGAGATATGGCGGCATGACCTCTCTGGTCATGTAAGGGCTCAACACAGAACCCACAGCTCTATATCATTGGGCCATTTCGCTTTCCAATATACCAAGCTTTGTGCTGGCAACACACCAAGCTGTTAAAAACAGTGGCTATTTATAAAAGGCCAAACAAGAGCCAAGAGTTCTGCAATTTCATCCTGAAGGTTCCTTCAAAGCTCTTGAATGGATGCAATCTAGTGTCAGCGGTCGCTGGTAATTCACCGGACGCATCCACAAGGACAGATTACATCTCAGTGCCCCCTGCGGCGGATCCAGAGGTGCCAGCGGGGCAACGCAAGGAGGAACTGGGCAGCACGGCAGCACTCATGACGACGAGCTTATAAATACCTACGGCAGGGCGCGGCGCGGCACGGCACGTCCCACAAGCGGCCGGGGCTGCTGGGAGCCTGGACCAAAGAGGAGGAAATCGAATAACAGAACAGTAGGAAGGACTGAGCCTTGACGGTAGATCCCAAGCTCCAGGGATTTGAAAAGAGGATCCCCCTCCTGCTGCTCCCAGATAAGAAAACATACGCTTTTCCCCAACCGCACACGGTCTCTGTCCCCACAGACGTCCTGGCCAAGACACAGCTAAGCCCTCTGAGAAGGACCGCCGCTGACCGCGGTCCTGGGCCCCACACACAGAAATCGAGCCCCACTTGAGGGTCTCCCCCGTCTCACACAACCCTTGGCACGCAGAATGTCCCAAGCCCGGTGCCGGCCCCTCACAAGAGGACTACATGACTTACGTGGCAATCCCAAAGCGTCCTTAGCAATTCCAGCTGACTCTCTGAAAAAAGCTATTTATTACCACCCTTCACAAAATGGGTGATGGAAGCTGCCCCAGGCCTCCCCATGGGATGCACAGCTCACGGACATGAAAACAAAGTGAAGTAAACACAACCTCGCAGCGAAAATCTCAATTTCCTCTGACCCACCAGAAACCACAGACTCCCTCCCATGTTTCAGTTTCCAAAACCTAGAGTTACTTGAGGCCTATCAGTTCCTGCATTTCTCCCCTAAATTAAGTAAGACTCACAGTCTTGTTAGAGGAGGGAAGGCACATAAATCCAGAGTTAAACCGGTGTTAGAGTATGTTACGTTTCTATTGTGATATAATACACGTCCAAACATAGGGTAGAATATGAAGTCTTCACAGTTTTACCACAGTCTCTTTGTTGAATATGTCACAGAAAGAGAGATGGGAATTTCATTAAAATCGTCGAAACTTTTAAAATAGAAAACTTTTAAAAGCAGAAGTATAAAACTAACCACAAAGAGACTGAGTTTGTGACTATTATGACAGTCACCAGCTATTATCTTGAATCTTATTTCAGTTTTAAAAAAAATACATCCCATAAGCAAAAGGTTAAGGAAGCATGTACACATACCATAAAGCTAATTAAACACATCATGTAACTTTTAATAAAAAGCAGGCAGAACTCAGCCATGAAATATCCTCAGATCAAAAAGGCAGATTCAGTTCTAAGCCCTGAAGAGCCATTTATGAAAGCAGAGTGTGCAATTATTACAAAAAGAAAAAAAAAAAAACAAATACATGGCTTCTGTGCTATTTCAGTGAGTCTAGATTACACAGCAGATAAGACAACTCCTACTGTGTTCCATCCTTGTGCATTAAAGGAGCTAGCTGTGGTGTCTAAACTTTTATATCAAAAGGAGACGCTCCATGACTATCCTTATGAGCACACAGCCCCTCCCCCCACCATGCTCCTGAGGAGAGAAAGGGATGGCAAATGCCACCTTGGGGCAATGATTCTGATGTCTCAGACCACATCTTTGTGTCACAGACCACAAGCCAGCAGCAGTCTTACCTCTAAGTGCCACCAAGAGACTTTGAAAATGCACTAACAGGTAAAAGGCTGTACCAGAGAAAGACTTTCCGTAAAATTCCACGAAAAGAAAAGCAGCTTAAAAATGACGAGAGGTCAAAGTCAGAGGACATTTAGTTCTACCCATTTCTTAAATTAGATACTTTTTAAATTACACAGAGCCTAACTAAAGAGTGCAGAAAGGCAGACTAAATTCTTGTTACAATGTAAAGTAAGATTCCCTACCCCAGACAAAGAAGCCAACATGAATTAAGTCAAACGCTAGCTTCAGGAGACAGTGACCAGAGCATAAGGATGCAGTCAGCCAAGGCTCGTTTGAAGGTGCAGAGGATGTTTCCCAGGGGAGCCCTAAAATACATGCAACGACCACTCTTTTAAGCCAAGACTACAAGGAACCTGATTGGAATATCTACATGATAACGTCTGTCATTACTCGAACATCTTGATATTAATATCTGTTGAATGATATTGAAGAGAAAGGAGTGTGGGTTAAAAATCAGATGTTACCATTGTTAAAATAAACGTGAAGTCAGAGCCTGGTAATTATCTCTGTTCTTTCCAAACAATAAAATTTGAATATTTAGAGGGTTTAGTATATTCATTTAAAAACATCTCAACTCAAAGGTTCACATATTACTTGCCAAAACTGATTCTGTTATCACCTTTTATTTATTTATATTTAAGGATTTTCTTTGAGAGAGGGAGAAACAGCATGAGGAGGGGCAGAGGGGCACAGAGAGAGAATCTCAGGCAGAGCCCATGCTGAGCACAGAGCGCAACACGGCGCTCGAGTCCACAACCCTGAGATCATGACCCGGGCTGAAACCAAGAGTCGGCCACTTAAGCAACTACGCCACCCAGGCACACCCTGTTATCACCTTTTAAATTGCTATTTGGTTCAGAAGCATGTCAATCTGGGGGACACTTTACACCCCTGCTTCCGATCTGCTCATATTTCTTAAAATGACAGGCATTATGTTGCCCATCAAGAGGAGAGTTTTTCTCTCTCTTCCTCTAAATTGTCCTGCTAACCAGAGGATGGGTTTCCTTTCTTCCCTGCCATATACCAAATGCCTAAGACAGGACCAGGCACAAGGCAGTCAACAAACACAGGACAGTTGAATGGATGAATGAATGAATCAGTGAATGAATGAATAAACATACTTCTCCAGCTTCTTGCCCCTGAGCCCCTACTCAAACACTCCAATGTTCCTTTAGCACTTTGTATTTTAGGTTTATGAAATATAAGCTCAGTGTTTTCAAACAGCCACTCCAATAGTATGTATTATATTTATAACAAGGAAATTAACCTCTGCCCTGAGAAGAAATATTCCACAAGTTAGCATTCAGCAATGGAAAATCTTTTAGCTGAATCAATGATCTGAAACTTCGGCTATCTAA